CAGGTGTTACTTGCTACTCACCAACACACAGCCCATTTCTTCAGGTGTTACTTGCTACTCACCGACACAGCCCATTTCTTCAGGTGTTACTTGCTACTCACCGACACAGCCCATTTCTTCAGGTGTTACTTGCTACTCACCGACACAGCCCATTTCTTCAGGTGTTACTTGCTACTCACCGACACAGCCCATTTCTTCAGGTGTTACTTGCTACTCACCGACACAGCTCATTTCTTCAGGTGTTATTCATTAATTAACAACACTATTTCTTGAAGTGTCTAGTTAAGAATGATTTGGATTCTACTGTATGAAGCACTAACTGGCACATCATCATCATACTTCAGTTTTATTTATCATCAAAGTAGTTGTTATCAAACTAATTTCTTGAAACACACACACAATAAAGTACTTAGAGTTTAAAATCTCACCTCTATCAAAAAATAAGAAATAACATTTATGTAATAAACTTCAATTTAAGTACAAGTAAAAGTATGCAACAGTATAAAAACAGAAAACTTAGATAAGTAAACAGTTACATTTTCTAGTTGATAGAATAACAAGAAGTCAGACACTTTAAACTTCAAAGTTCTTAACAATTAGGACTAAATAATTATCTCAAAATTGTTCATGCAATAACAACTAAAAAACAAACATTTCCACGCTATTTTACGTTTCCCAGTAGATTTACATTTCAAGGGAGCCCCTCTTTTCTTGATTTAGGGATCATATTGCTTTTAAACCACTTATACTGTAAAACAAAGTCTCAAAACAAACCTATAATGACTTTCTCTAGACTCGTAATGTTTATTTAACCAGAAAATTACCCAATGCTTATCACCTTCTAATTGTTACATCCAAGTTAACTACAAGTACAAATTCTTTAAGCCTATTACCAGTGCTATAGCAATCAACCACTCACCTGGAATCTTATCAAAGACCTTTTCAAAGTTTTGTAGAGAGCATACACAAAATAGATAAAGAACTAGATAAAAGACTTATAATTCTATTTGTCAAATTCTAATTTACAAGATTTTAAAAATTATTTCTGACAGTATATCAAAGATGGAAGTTTTTCCGTTGAAATTAATGTTTTAGATCATCCCCAGTTCTATCATCATAAACAATATTAACATATCTCAAAATGTAGCAGAATTGCAGCCACTGTTAAAGATTCGTATAAAATTAATTGATTAGGCCTAGCCTTTAACACACCTGTTTCCCTGAGTCTTTTTGGACTTTTGTCGTCTGCGGCTGAGATCATTTGGATGTGGCATTGTTGAAGCATAGCCATGTTCTGCCTCTGCAAAACAACGGAATTATTTAATATTCAAAGAAAAAGTGTTCTTCGTTCCGAACGCGTTATATCTTACACAATAACATCAATTCAATATAGATTTTCTGTACCCTATGGCATCATACAACAAAATCAGCTGATCGCCTCACGATATATTTAGTTAAGCCTAACTCTCAAAAAACTAGTATTACTTCAGTTTGTTTACGTGCCTCAGTGAAAAAAGCACGCTGTACTTTGTCAGCTGAAACTTTGCAACTATTCTTACCTCGTTCACGCCTTTCTAAATATTCCGCAGCTTGTAGTAAAGCAGCAATGCTCATTTTGGCTTTAAAATATATTGTAAAAGTAAGTTATAAAATCACACAAGAATATGGCGATCATACAGCACTGTCTGATATCTAAGCCTTCTCGTCCTTCGTATCGTGACGTTTGTTTTGTTCTGTATCACACACGTTGCATTCTGTTCGAGCTGAGAAGCGTACAGAATACTCTCTGGTATCTAAAATTTACATATGAAATGACGTCATTGTGCTTCTATTGGGCGACCAACAGTTTATCGTGTGTTCGGAAGTACAGCTGAAAGTAACCAATCCCAACGTGTTTATTGAACCGCTTTGTAGAGGATACCCACGTGTTTTCCTTCGTCAGTGACATGGTGTGAGCTGAACAGTTACCATTGATTTGGCACATAAAACGGCATTCGTTGCTAGGTGGAAGGCGCGTTTAAAGGTGAAACAAGGTCATAAAAGTACTTGTTTTAAATTTTTTCTAATTTAAAGATTCTGGGCGTTTTACCTTTATAACAAGTAGTAGAAGAAATTTTAGGTTGAGGTATTTTAATGTTACATCATTTTAAACCAATTATTAAAAATAGTGAAGCCTGAAAAATTATGAACGAAAACGAGCACTGTCCTGATTGAAAGATAGTTATCAGTGGGTATGAAACTTGACAATCGACCTAGTGATTACAAAAAAAAAAGTGAAATTTTCATAACAGTATTATTGATTAGCCTGCAGACCGTAAGAATTGTAAAAAATTAATAACCGTGGCAAAAACATTTTAGTGTTCTCGTTAGTAGCACACACACACACACATATATATAAACTATGACAGAAGTGACCGTTAGTTTGACAGATCAATCAGTCAGTTGCCATGAGCTCTACGAAGAGAATATCTTTACATATAGCGTTTCAAAAAAATATATTTATTAGAAAAAAAAACAATAGGATACAAAAATACGACGCTCATGCATTTCGAAACATGCTGAAAGATATTTAAAACCAAGCGTAATATTGTTCTTAAAATTGAAAAGGAAGAAGAACCGAATTGTCCATAATCTAATTGTCCCTCACTTGTCACTTACTGTATCTGAAAGTAACATAATGTACGCACAACAAGGGACTGACAATCTCGTCCTTCAAAACTGTCAGAGTAAGAATTTATTAACTTTTTTTTGTAATAAACATACTAAAAGCGTGATGAAAATAAATCAATATTTGATTTGCTAAAATTATACGCACGATATAATTAGAAGTCACTGTACGGTATTTGTTAAATTGATTGATGCCTGGGAAATGTTGACCGAGAATTTTGGTTATAAAAAAAAAGAAGGTTTTCACGGACTTACTACGACATATGAAAAGGTACTGTTGTCACGAACGAAATATATGTACATATACGTACATGAATATATTTATATTAAGCCTAACTGACCTGTCCCTGGCGACTTAGCATTTAGTTTGAAGGCTTATAACACTAAAAATTATGTTTCGATACCAGAGGTGGGCAGAGCACAGATGACGCATTGTGCAGCTTTGCACTTGTACCCTGGTGGCTGGGCGACAAACTTGAGGGTTTATGAAGCTAAATTTCGAGGTTGGATCCCTTAGGTGAGCACAGCAGAGACAGCCCATTGTGTACCTCTACAAATAAATCTAAGTGAGCCATATGTCAGTTCTAAAAGAGAACATTAGCTCTGCCCACCATAGGGAACCGAGCCTCGGTTTTTAGGGCAATAAGTCTGTAAACAAGAATATAACGATGGAAATTAATATTCTGTGTTCGTTTGCCTCAAAAACGTTTTGTGTTGTACTTTCTTTAGTAGTTATCCTAACACCGTGTAAGAGCTGTCTGCGCATGCCCGTCCCTAATTTGAACTGATAGATGAGAGGGTAGGTAACTAACTAGTCAACACTTCCCACTATGGGGCTATTTTTGTCTGATCTAATAATGGGACTTGAAGACCCTTCGTGGCCTGGTGTTTAGGACGCTCGACTCCTCACCGAACAAGACTTGTCCTTTCAGCCGTGGGGGGAATTATAATGTCACAGTCAATCTCACTATTCGTTGGTAAATCAGTAGCCTAAGAGTTGGCGGTATTGATTAGCTGCCTTCCCTCTAGTCTATCACTACTATATTAAAGACAGCCCTCGTGTAGCTTTGCGCGAAATTCAAACCAAACCAAACTGTCTCTTTATAACACATCACGGCCTCAAAGTGCGAAGCTGACTACTAGACCACGCCCAGCTCCTCGAGGCAGCTGTGGGTGTTATGGGAAAATGTTCATGTTAAACATTTTTGTTATCCCTTTCAGATGTTACTGAGCATGCGTGATGTCCGCACGCTCTTTCATCTAACAATTTTCAGAAACTCGCAACACGTGTTTTCTATTATATCATCATCTTTCATCATCCAGAACGAAGATGACAATTAGCCAAGTGTGAAAACAAATTAAATACGAGGGGGGTGGGGTGAGAATCGATGTCCTTCCATAAGACAGAAGGGTTGTTTTTTTTTTATTTGGTTATCTGCGATCTCTTCACCGTGGGTAATTGAAACCCGAATTTTAGCATTGTAAGTCCGGAAACTTACTGTTAACAGAACAGGAGGATCAATACTTTTGGTTTTCAATATATTTAAAAGCAGGGTATTATTTTCCACGCATAGTGTGATGACTTGCGCGTGGCTTCAGTTGAACCAAATCTTGGAGTATCATATGGTATCGGAAACATTTTTTTAGCCATTAAATAAATACTCAACACAACTTTATACTTGTTAGTTGTATTAAGCACAACATGGGCTAGCTGTGTTGTGCCTACCACGAGTATCGAAACCCAATTTTTGTCATTATAAGATTTCAGACTTACCGATGAGGGACTAAACTTGCTGTAACGTGAAACACCTAGAATTAGAGAACACGTGTTCTGTTAACTCCTCATCCAATACATTACCTGAAATATACCCTTTCTTCCTATAAGATGATGGCCAAACATCATAATTGATCAGTAATCTATTTTTATCCTGTAACTACCATGTCATGCACAAGAAGGAGCTTCTGTAACTGGATCTTTGTCCCATGACTACCATCCACAAGAAGGAGCTTCTGTAACTGGATCTTTGTCCCGTGACTATTATCAACAATAAGGAGCTTCTGTAACTGGATCTTTGTCCCGTGACTACCATCCACAAGAAGGAGCTTCTGTAACTGGGTCTTTGTCCCTTGACTACCATCCACAAGAAGGAGCTTCTGTAACTGGATCTTTGTCCCGTGACTATTATCAACAAGAAGGAGCTTCTGTAACTGGATCTTTGTCCCG